TCAACATGTCGAAAAGTGTACGACCGGGGTGCTTTTAATGGAATCTAATTAGGACAAATTTAGTGATTTTATTTTGACGAATTTCGGGGGTGCTCTTTGAATTTCTAGTTTTGAAGAACAGCTGTAAAAACGAGAGTTATCCAGCTTGCGTAAAAATATATTGTGAGGCTGGCGGTTTGATGGACAGCAGTATTTCAGTAGTATGTTGATCAATTTCTGGCAGAACTGCGATATCTCGAATATCGTGCCAACTGAATCATGAGGTGGCCTGTGTGCAGCACATTCAGTTGTAGAAAATCATAAGCGAGAGATCCAATTGAGTCTCCCGCGAAAACCAAAGTTATTTGCAAATGTGTGTATTCCTCGAAAACAGTCCAATTTGGGTTCAAGTAGATCATAAGGTTCACGGAAACTCGGGGACTGCGCCCACCCGGTGAACCTCAAGAAGGGCAAAACCGGTCGTGAGCTGTCGAAGAGTTTTCAGCAACCTTTTGTGTAGTTTCCTTTATGAACGGAATCTCATTATAAGTGAGGTTGGTCTTGCAGGACTTCAAAATATCATTCTAGTCGACATTACCTGATATAAGCTTTCAGGAGACTCCCTCCTTTGGAGTGAAATGGTACACAGAAGTGATGAAATTCAGCGAGTAACGCTGTAGATGGCAAGTTCTAAGAAAAAGACGGCGTTTGGAAATATGTAAAATATTTGCATGCTAAGCCAAGTGCAAAAATTCAAGAGTTGCTTAGTAGTCACTGATGCAAAGTACTATTCTGTAGACTACTATTCTGTTCCAAACATTACGAGATCACCAGCTGTACGGTGCATTGATAATAGTTGGAAGGATTTTCACTCTAGTGTGCCTGACGGTTGAGCAAGAAACAGGTGCAGATTTTGTCCGGTTCTTTCAATCAAATCACTGACATTCTGGACTCTGGCTGGGTATTGTGTTACCCACCAAGTCCGCTGATAAAATGTATGTTTATTCTTCAAAAATATAAACAATCTTTGCCCACTCAATGCACTTTGGTGTTTATGTAGACTGTGGGGGAAAATACTACAACTGTGTCATATAAGGTCTGGGGACGAACGCAATTTTGCCGGCGGATACTGGCGACTACGCGTTCTCAGACGTTTGTCAGGTGTTTTTATTCCAATTTCGTTCTTCACGACGCCCTTGCTTAGATAAGCTCACAAAATTGGGTCAAAAGTCCACCGTTTCATCGGTCTGCATTTTTCTTAGATGGAAAGAATTTGGTCTATCGATTCTGATCAGCAGCTTAGTAATGAGCGATTAAGGGGTCTATTGAACCACAGATTGAGACTAACTTGTAGATGTTTATTCGTTTAGTTGGATGAACAAACGCGTGGTATAACTATGCTATATCATTATTACTTCCGATAAATAGATGACATTTCTTGAGTCAGGATAAGGTCTAGCTTATAGATGAATCCGATGAGATGTAGTTTTATTAAGGGATTTTGGGCCACGCCATTTTTCAAGTAGACTTTACTCAGGCTGATCAGGCATATTTTGTTTTCCAATATGCACGCGTACTACTGCTGTGATACAAGCCGTGAAAAAATAAGCAAGCCTTCTAATTAGTGCCAACATAGAACTTTCTTCAGAGGTACAATAAAGGCCTTCATCAGCTCCGCACCATCGACTTCTCGTCAACCTGGGCATGAGAGTTTTGTATCAAAGTCAAAAAGCACCGAACACCATCTATTTCACGATAAGGTAAGCCGATGACTATTTACGATTGGATGGAACCAGGGAAATATCATAGTAATTGTGTGGTCAGTTTTATTGGCTTTGTCATTTAAATAGCGTCTGTATCTTTTTCGATGTGTTCAATAGATTGGTAAGTAGCCACAAATGTGTCGGCAACCGGTAGCATAAGTTGTGACTCTCCTCTTAGTTTGTTTGTAAGTAATCTCAAGGAACTTTAAGCCAAGACATAGTTAATTAGCCGTTATCAAGAACTCCAGGTTTTAGTGGCAGCTTATATAAATATAGTGGGTCTTTATGACTACAGTGTACTTTCCTCAATGGATGAATAACGGCTAAAATATATCAACTAAAAAGCTCTGTTTATTAATGTGTCTTTTCTATCCTCACTGTTGAAAAACAGCAGGGTTTGTCACGGATAGTGCTGAAAATTTCCGGAACAGTGTTCTGCCTTTCGAAGATCTGTAAATTAACTTAATACGGTTATCATTATTAGGATAGATTCCCGTTTGTATGCAAATAATGTACTGCTCAGTAGTATCTGCACAGCAGATAGAAATATGTTGGAGGCAACGACCACTTTTAAAATCAATAGAATGCTTCTCGGAAAAATAAATTTACTAACACATCTTGGCCATAACTTACACAATACCGTGTTCCCCTCCGGCCAAATCTCTGTGCCTCCCAGAGACACACTATCCTGAGTGCTATAATCTATTGATTTACTGGATTCTGATGAAAAGAAAAAACTAATGCATATCCAAGTTATCTTTCAAAATGAAAAATTATGTTAATTACGTTGAACTGGTAATATGTTTTAACATTTTCTTGCCAGTCTCACGGTTCACAGCAGTTAATGATTCTTGCGTTGGGCAACTGAGTATGTCCAATTCCGCGCGACAAATTTCGTGTAACATAAACGCCACCAAGTACAATATTTGCATACATTTTGACCCTGCTTTCTTTAACTGTGTACATTTCTTTTTCAAAGTTATCCTGGGTATCTTCGTTGTCCACGGTGTTCATTTGGATGAGGACGCACGAATCGATTGATGCCAGGGAGCTGTTAATGTAGTCTGCTCACTTTTGTGCCTTTCCGTTATGAGGAAATATGCTTTTCGTTTCGCCAAGCTTTTCCAATCAATAAATTCGCATGAAGAGTGCTAATCAAATCGCGTTAGGTCACGAGAATGGAAAGCACAATCCAGAAGTATTCAGCAACCTTATGAGTAGTACATTACAAATATTGAGACACCTTTTTGAATACTAATCAGATCTCAGCCGAATCGCTCGTTTGTAATCTTCTTCATTAATTGAATGTGCGGCACGAAGACCGTCTTAAGGCGCTGTTTATTTTCTTTCCGGAGTGTTACTCACAAGTCTGTCAAAGATTTTTCAACAACCTAATGATCTGTGTTCCGTCACGTGAACATATGTGCTGATTGATTTTTATCACTTGGTCGTACTACTCTGCGCTTGTACTTTATAAACCCTGATTGCCAGCTTCCACTGCGTGGTGCAGAATTTGCCCAACTGACCAGATTGCTACAACGGTACTGAATGGCATGTACAGTTACCAAAGGCTTAACTATCACACTCAATCTCAGATATTCTAGCCAGCTCTCCGAAAGACCATGTGCCCTTGTTTCTTATTATGTGTAGGCGGGTAATCTTCTAGCCACATCCTTTTTGAAGGTCAACCTACTTATCGCACTAGTACCACTGGACTATTTTATTTCTTTCTGTAGACACCCACCCTTTACTGTTTTCTTCCTTCAAGTATATTCTTATATTTACAACCTGCTTTGTTCCCTAACTGCCACTTTATTTCACTGTAGCATTTTACCTGTCAAATCTATTTTCCGATCCTCTCTTTTAAGTAGCCATGTAAACTGCGTGAATTGTGTTGCAGAGTTCAACATGTTTGTGAGAGAAACTGCCTAATAGACTATTTAGCTATCACACGACGTATTTGTATCATGGCAAAAAACAAATGTTTCACCTTCAGGCCGTAAACATTTACCGTCCTTAGCGAATATACACTCATTTGCAAACTAATTTGGCTTTTTGAGAGACTCACCTGGAACCCCGCTGAATCTCTCGTCTGTGATGTCCTCAGGCAGTTTGGTTTTAAGGTTGACGGAAACCCGGGGACTGCGCCTACCTGACGAGCCCCAAAAAGGGCGAAACCGGTCGTGGGCTGTCGATGGATTTTCAGCAACCTTATGAGTAGTACATTACAAAGATTTGCTTTACCGTTTTCTTTATAAGATTACTCTATAAGTCATCGAACCAAATGCTGTAGAGAGTGATGGACTAATAGGTAGATGTGTTCAAACTCAATAGGGGTTTCTCAGAATTTGAAACACATGGTGTAGGGGCTACAAAATGAAGGTCTTGTATGAGGGAACATGGTGAAAATATATTCATTCAGGTGTACAGAGACGACAGACTTGGCAAACGGATAGACGGCAAATATGTCAGCACCCACGTGAAGATCGACAACCAGCCCAAGGGCTTTCCTCAGCTTGTTGGCATATGTTTGTGTGAAACTGGTTTTCCTAGCATCGAAAAACTCGACTTGATGTCATCAGTCACATCAGTTTGCTGCAGACAGACACTCAAATACACACCTCCCAGGCATAACAACACTTATCAACTTTAAATTTGATAATTCTTACTTAAGAACAAATTTCACACGAGGAGGCAATCAGCAACTAACGTAGTGAGAGTCTGCTCCGATCTCAATCGTGAACTCGTAAAAGCAACAAACTATGCTTCCTCTAAAAAAGTGAAATTTTATCCCAGAATGTGCCACTTTTCTATAGTTTACTTGGATCATAGAGTTATCTGAGTAGCCTAAGATTGAGACATCGATCCGGCCGGTAAAAAATACTGTTTTTGCAAACCACCTTTTTTGATTAGATAACGTCTTAGACTTGCCTGGAACATTTGAAACTCCGTAATTGCATCATCTACATTGGTGTTTTCAAGTACTTTGATCAGGATAATTCAGTAATTCACAAATAGAGATAGATGGACGTCTTCACTTATAAACCAACTAATAGTTTGCAGCAAGCATCTCGAGTTCATTACTTCGGAGTTTGGGGCCTTCATCGGCTGTCTTTTGTGTCGCTCATCTCTGACAAGACTCAACGACCCTGGATGTATCGCCATTTTGACCTCAAAATATGTTACCATGGTCAATCCGACAAAACCCGTGCATCCAGAACAGTAATCCAAATAAGAACAAAAAACCTTACGACTTACCGCATACCGGTCAAGTGTTCAACCACCATGACAGTGAAACTGAAGTGTAGAAAAATCGCCAACAGTGTTTACTCCTCCAGCAAGCTTCAGAATTATGCACCTGTGACAAGGTCTTGTATAAACTATCCGGAACCCGTTTGCACAACAAATCAGTCAGGTTTTGAGCGAAAATTCCTGTAGTGCGCGACAGGGATAAGAAAACTGAGCATTTCAACGACTGCCCTCTATGCTGAGCTAAATGACATTTTGATTCACGAAGGTAGTTGAAATGGACCAATCAGGTCGTCTGACGGAGATCAACGTCTCATGCTAGCCAATCGCTTTCAAAATAAGCAGTAGTGGTCACGTGACCAAAGTTGCATTGCTTTGGCGAGAAGCGAAAATTGTTGTTGAATATGCAAATGTTTTCATGATGCCCTCAGGAGCAAAAAGAGGATGATAATTTAGTGACTGGAAAGGAATTCGGGCAAACGGAAGGAACTGTGCTCCCCGCTTATTTATTGCACTTGACCACGAAAACGATGATAACAAGAAAGATTGATAGATTTGCGATAATTCTGATCTGAAATATCACCAGCGAAGTTAGGAAGGATTATAAATTGTCAAAAGTTGTTAATCCAATGAGCTTTGGTTCTGTTTGTTAAGCGTTCAACTCGTTAAACCAGAATTTAACTTCCGTACGTTATGACCATCATCCGTCACATGCATTACTCTAGATTAAAGAGAGGCTCTTCTGCTGGGTTAATTGTGCGGCTGGATTACCAAAGGGACTAACCCTCAGAAAAGACTACTTTACTGACTCCTTGAAGCATACTGTATCAAGGAAGTTTCTTGTGCAGGCGATTACGTCTGTTCGATTATTCCAGCTGCCCTCAGCAGGTAGGGATGGGTCAAAATAACCGGTAGACATTCAATCTCCTTAGACGAGCTTAACTGAATATCGCAGACGTTGACGCATAAAGTATTCTCATAAAATGATTTAAAAATGCTTTTCCTAGAAGAACCATTTTGTTCGAATAAACAATTACCGCTGCTTAAGATAGGAATATTTCCAAATTTCGTTTGCAGGCGCAGGTTGATCACAGATTCATGAAACTTGTTGAAACACAAGGTTAGAAATGTGTGCATCAAAACCTTTGCTTTAGTGACAGTTTAGTCAAAACTTTAAATAAATGCATAGATAACGAGTACTGTTTGGTAAAATCCACCCGTTTTCCTCTTCCTGCTTACCAAGAAAAATACGTTTTTCGTTTTCTGCTGCGCTTTTTTGAAAATTTTTAGGAACGACGATGTTTCATCCGCAAGTTGAAGCACAACCTAGGCATGAGCTGAAGAATCTGCGAGTTACACGTCTCGCCTGATGCAGTAAAACTCGACGGTGGGCGAATCATTCGACAATTGCCGGGTAACAAACGAAATTGAACTGCCAGTCACTGGGGTAATGTGGCCCTCTGAAAGGTTCACATGGGTATGAGGTGGTTAACTGACTTGCGTTCATTTGAACTGAGCTTCTCCGAAGTCATCCATGGCCTTGAAAACATTCACTTTGTTCTTCTCTTCCTATCTTTAGTAAGCTAAATTTTTGGAACTTAGCGACCGCCAAATTAAAACATTATACTTGTTTTGAGTAGTTTCACTCCTATTGATTGATTCAGTCTTGTTTTTGTTCACTTTTTCCGCTTCGCACACACATACCGCCCGTCAGTGTTTGCGGTCGCAGACTAGTAAAACATGAGACTAAGTAAGCTCTGGTTACTGAGCAAATTTGTGACCATGTTTCCTACTCAGGACGCAACACGGCAAGAGTAGACTGATTAGCAGTTGGCGACACTGTTCGGTCAGTCACTGATATCTCCTGTGTTCACACGTTTTTTTAGTTGTAACGTGACACGTTATTGACCTGACTGTTCTTTCCGTGTTACATTCCGTGTGCAGGAAATAATGGCTGTTTTTCCAAACACCCAGAATTTAGCCTTGAAGAGGTCTACATAAAGCTCCAAGTGCCACGATGCTTATCCGCCGCTCACTACCGAATTTCCAACCACCTGCCGATGAATTACGATTTTAAATCTCCCTGGAGATTTGTAAGGTACACAATTCTTTTAATTCGTAACAGAAAAAAAGACAATGAATTGCTTCTCGACTTTTCGTATACACTAGTCCCATTTGCAGGACAAAAGCTCACCTCAGGCTTTTTTAAATATATTCTTAGGCTATCAAAAGAGTAGCAGCAGCTGAGAAAGAGGGACTTTCGTGAAACTTCGAGAGCCTTCTTAGGAGCCATCTCTTGAGGGGTCAGGGACCAAAAGACCGCACAATGCGAATCCCACGATTGACACATGAATGTCTGATACGCTTTATACTGTTAGTCAACCCCACGCTACTGAAAGGTTTTGTCATCAACTACTGGGGTCGAATCTCCCTGATTATTCATGAGACCTGCATAGGGGATGACACAGCTCTTCGACTCAAACTGATTTTGCTTAAAGTTAAGAAATTCCGACTCTCATCTTGCTGAATACCAAAAATCAGTCTCACTATTATCCATGATGTTGTTTTGATCAGCGTGTGGACAATGCGTGAGAGTTTCAAATCTTCTGCCTTCTTAGTTTGTTGTCCAAGCAATGTAACAATTACCGTAACACTATTTGCAAGGTCAAAGAAAAGTACTAAACAGTCCACTGATGGCTTTTGCCCTTTTTACAGCTAATCAAATAGGTCCGGTTCCTAATTTTTACACGCATTTACAAGCACGTTGTTGTTAGCAAAGAGATTCAAATGTATTTCGGCACCATCAAAACCTAGATGAAAAATTTGGCGTGATGAATAGATGAGTGATTATCTGCAAGCGCACCCAATCTTTCGTTCATTTATTAAGTAAGCTTGATAGAAATCGGAGCCTACCCGAACGACCTCAAATACAGCAAACTCAGTGTTCAAATGGCCTCCGATATTTTGTTTATCGTTCCAACAAAAAATGAAACAGACTGCGCAAAGCTAATTTCGTTGAATAATATTACAAATGACAGTTTTCGGTGAAATCCAGCTTGGTTTCCCTCAAACAGCCATTTGGTTGGCAATTGAGTGCCTTTCTACAGTTAACATTATTCAATTTTTTCCAAACAGCTACCAACTCATATTTTGACGGCACGGAATTTTGTTTTTCCATATAAAGCGTGACTTTCAACCCTTTCGGGGAGTATACCAATATTAGCATATAAGTATCATTAATGACACAAACAACTAGTGCATTGAATCTGGTATAGGAAATCGTTTATCCAAGAAAATTAAGTTTTTTTATTGTACTTTCATCCCAATCTATTACACACGATAAAAAACAGTGATGTGAGTCTTCGCCTGCCCAAAACTGTGGTCGCTGGAACAGAGTGAATTTCGAAAGCGATCTGAACGCCGAAATTTCTGCACATTTATAAAACGTTCCAAGCTGATCAGCACTGTATAGTGTAGCGCCTCTCTCGTATCATTCTGGGAGTTCTTGTTTACCACAGCAGATGTTATCTGGTCCCAAATCTGACATCTTTTCAAATGTTGTTTTTTTGTGATTCAGTGCGGGTTTTCTAGTAAGTGTGTATTGCGGACGTAATTTGTAAGTAGTGTGAACATCTAGGATGTTCAGGTTGAAACAACATGGAATGCGGCCATAACGAAGTTGCTTTCAACAGAGGTTGTTACTCGCGCGTGGGGGCATATACAATGGAATCAACGTAATTTGTATGCCCTCTTGGAAATGTGTTGAAAAAACACTCTTCCTTTTTGGTGAGTGTGAATGGCAGTCGCTCAAAGCTTCCAGCTTATTTGGCCAGTTTTATACAGTTTGTAGGTTTTGATACTCTGTAAAAAGGAATCAATATTTTTGAGTTTCATCATATGACGGATACCGGGGGGTCTAGAACCCGCAAACCTCAGGCTAGCATGACATGGAGATACTACCGGATGTATGATTTGCATATATTTAGACAAAATATAGAGCCAATAACCCTTCAGTTACACAGTTCATTTAATGCGACCGTACATTATTGTCAAATCTTGTCTCAGTTGGTATCAATGCTGTGGAATATTTACGAAGAATATGCCCACTGAATGACAGAATATATGTAGTGTGAACCCAAGTCTGAAAGAGAAGGCGAGATTATGATAGTGATAAAGGATCGCAGGATTCTGGTGAACGGTTGGTCAGACAGCGGGAACAACTGGAAATGCTTGACAAGGCAGTACATCAAGTAAGGTAATATAGGAAACAGAAAATTGCTATTACTGAGATGAGGAAGGCCTTTGCTACGAAGCTGTTTATTAGAAAATGCCAAATAACCAATTTTAGACTATTGGACAGGGGAGCAAAACCCTCATACTCATCTTATTTACAAAAAATGAAAACCCATCTTCTCTTGAACGCGTCTTTCTGAATTTTTTTACATTTAGCAGTCCGTTTCGACTATTCAGCGCAGGTGAACCACCAACAACACTGAGGTTTTATAAACCAGAGATAATATCTGGAGCAGTGCAAATATCGCAAGTACGGTAAAACCGACTACCAGGAGCTTTGACAGATAGTATGCAGGAGGCAGAAGCATCCAGAGGCATTTCAACTGATACCAATTGTCGTAGCTGCCTTCATCAGATTTAGTTGGCCAAGACATGCGAAAAGCGGAAGATTAAAAAAATATTCCAGGAACATTGGATGGGGACCAGACGAATATCATTGCTCTGCTTTGAAGATGTAGTGTCATATCACAGTTTAGGGCGCGCTAAATTAGCTGATTACGAGAGCAGTCGCGGGAGCAGAACTCTGGGTCTTCATCCAGACAGTTTGGTTTCAGTGTTCAGCTAGACTACCATTTCCTTTCCCGGAACACTCATTCAAACCAGAAGTACAAGAAAACTGAGCAAGGTTCATACAGAAAACCGGAGGTTCTTCGGTTCTTCTTAGTAAATCCCAAGGTTTTCATAAAGGCAAATGTCAACTGCTTTCGTTTGTACAAATCCGGATAGTTCTGTCTAAAATGAAGCTGTTGAGAACTCAGCTCACTTTAAGTAAGAGCTTTCGGGTGCAGTTGCGCTTTGAAGTGATGCAATCACGCATTTCAATTGCTTGCCTCCAAAGACGCACAAGCAAGGTTTGG